ATGCAACTGCTTCGTATTTCGCTGTACCTGCCTGTATTTTTAAAGCGCCTGCTTGCTCTTCTCGCGGGTTTCTTTTTTGGTAAGTCTGCGGCCATTATACTAGAATCCTCGATTGGCTGTCATTCCAGCGGTTCCGTCCTAGACTTGCGACACCGGATTGCCAAGTACGAGGAAGTTTTTGCGAAGTCCATTTCCACCTCCGATCCGCCCTTTGACGTTATAATATGTCCGACCTTCGCCTATCCGGCCCCTCTTGCGAACACTGCGGAGCTATTTTTGGACACATCAATTCTCTATACGGCTCTCTACAATTTGGTGGATTATCCGGCCGGTGTTGTGCCGGTTGGCTATGTCACAGCAGAGGATGTCAAAGAAGCGGTGAAGCTGAAGGAGGCCTTTCGGCGTTCCGGAGATCGTACAAATGCTGCGCTTGCAAATATGCAAATTGGCAGTGAAGGTCTTCCTTTGGCGGTGCAAGTAGTAGGCAGGCCCATGCAGGAGGAGGTGGTTCTCAGAGTTATGAAGGAAATTGAGTCATCTGTTAACTTTTGGCAGTAGACAGAGGGGGAACAGGAGTACTAATTGTATCGCCCTCTGGATCTCCTTTAGTCTGTGTGCGTTGTAGTACTCGTTGTCGTTTTTTACAGAGGAACTTCACGCTTTGAACAAACTCTTTTTAAACCCTTTGGTCTCTTATCATTTGCGCCGTTTCTGTGTTCATACCAGCCTTTCCGTTGAGCTATATTGACTTTTTAGTCGTCATTAAATTTGTCTCGATATGTCGTTGTCCTTCTGCCTTTTCTGTATGTCACTTTCGCCTTAATCAACAACTAGTACAGGATATGATCGATGATTTCATGTCTGGAAAATATTGCGCGATATACGCATTCGACCGTTGTTGTTTGTACTTTACTGGTTGTTAAACAACTGAAAGTAACCTTTTAATGTTTCATCGCGCCTGAAGTACCTCTCTCAACTTCAGCTACCTCATTGTGCCCCGCCTGACGAATTATGAAACATATTATGCTTAGTATTCTCGGTCTGACTGGCAGTATTCCTGGGGGTCTATCTGTTAGTGTAATTGCTGGCCGCCCGACGTGTTCGAGGATGGGCGACCATTTAGTAGCCTTCAGCAGTTGTTAGATGTCCACAAAGCAAGCTCTAGTATCTTCCGAATAATCTTTTGCGGGCCAACGGAAAAGGTGTTACCAGGTCAAGGGGCTAAGGTCTGGCACACTGGCTGCATTTCGATTCAACCCAGCCGGATTCTGGTACTGTCCCTGGCTATTGCGATTTGCTGTCAGAAAGGTTTTCTTGCCCTTAGTGCTCACCACATATGGCTGGTTGTCAGCAGCCGTGTTTCCAGCAGTGGCGTGGAATTCAAGCGAGGCCAGCCAGGCTACATTCTCATCAGCTCAGGGCTTTGCGCCTTTTTCATGTAGACATATCCATGCGTGGTGCCAAAACTGCAAACACTAGCTGGTCAGACGACACCCTCGTTTGCTTAAGCCTGAAAGTTTATCTATCTTCTGTTTTCCGGGACGCATCGATGCGTTTAATTTACAGCAACCCAGCACAGCCAAATTTTTGAACTAAAATCCACTCTTGATTCGCAACCCGAGTCGGAGAAGGAAGCAGTAAGGAATGGTCATCATGTATTTCATCAGCTGGCAAGGCAGCCGATATAATTGTCCGGTTTGTCCGGTGGCACTGCAGTAACTTGATCAGCTGAAGAATTTTACAGGGCGAGTTAGCTCGCAGAACGATGTTTTGTTCGCCAACTCTGATGGTTCCTGCAAAATCAGCCTGAAATGACCGCAGATACTATTGGGCTAGAGTTGCCTCCTCCGTCGGGCAGGCCTCAAACGTCGGTAACACGTGATAACTCTGCCACACTATTTATGAAGAAGGCAGCAGGTCATCTGCGCCGGGTGGTTCTGTTCGCAATATGAGTAGTGGCCATAATGCTGACAACTACCCCAAGACATTTGGTGACCTGGCCATCACACTCCCTTTGTAACGGAATCTCAGCTCTCTCCAATCTGCTATGTTGTACGCCCAACCCTCATTTCGGTACGACATCGTCCATAGAGTACAAATGCAACGTAACGAGAGAGCGCCCGATGAGCAGAGCACGCACTCTGAAGCTTGCGGATCTTGTGTTGACACTGTCACCATGAATCAGTCGACCAAGCGTAGAGTTTAAGAGCCAGATCCTGATTCGGTCTTCAGGATAGTTCAGTCTTCATCGTCATTGCATCTCTTTGACAGATTGTGTTTCACTATAAAGAGGACTTTACACCGTTTTTGTCCCATAATGTCGCGGAGCGCTGCCACACAAGGTCCGCCATCTCAGCCCATTCCACTACTTTGCTGAGGACTTACTCGTTTAATGCGCCTGCTAAACAACGGTACCGGTGGAGAGGACGGACTGCCAACCGGAGTCTGTAAAGGTTGTCCTAGTGCGTTTTCTGAGCCAACCGGCGACGCATTTATGTAGCCCGGCGCATCAGGCCCGCCACACAGTCCCGCGAAATGCCGTTTCTTCAAGTAGAAAGACAATACGGAGTGTCGCCACTGCGGGTGCGTCGGTTTACTTGGTGTCTCCGTGGATATCTTCGCGGGTGTTATTCTGCGCCGTCTGATCTCCACTCAGGATGCACAAAGGGGCAAAAGCTATTGTGCTTTTTGCCCTGACAGAGTTTGTGTCCAACGTTCGACAGTTGTGAGAATTCCTAACGCAGTAATCAGAAGACTAGCTGGCGAGTATACATTTTCTTTCGATCAATTCTTGGAAGGGCAGTACATTTATATGGGAACGGGATAGAAGCAAAAAAGTCAGTGATAAAAGAAATTAATTAAAGTTTGTCTTAAAACACAGGCGGGGTGCGGGAATGTGTGTGTGAGTGTGTGGGGGGAGGAATGTAGCAGTGAATGAAATGGACGGGATGAGAGCGAAATGGCAGGGAGAGTTGCAGCATTAGTCGAACTTCGACGACGGTAAGCGCAGAGCCTGAACATGGTTTTTGCTCGCGCAATACCGACTTTCGTAGCCTGAAAGCAATCGCCTCTGCTGTTGCTAATGGAAGCTGGCTCGGTAGCTAAGGGTAGCTTGAAGGGACCTTATAAACTACGCGAAACGCCTTACTGGGTTCCACACGATGCCTGGTATCAACGACATGTGCGAGAATGGCGCTTTTCATGCTGCTAGTTTTTTTTTGGACAGATGCCGACTCTTGAGACCAATTTAACCTGCTCCACAGAATCACATGAAAGAGTATATGCACATTGAGGTGGTCTGAGATGGCAACTTATTCTTGCCTTCTCCGCATAAAGTAGGATTCGAATCCTTGCCGCTGGGAGTGTTCGTTAGACAGCTTGATCGAGGCGTTTTCGTAGGTGTTCACTCGCAACGTCCTCTTGAAAGGGAACTTTGAGGAGGAACTTTCTTTTCGGCGGTCGGTGCGCTTGGTTTTTTTCGGTCGCTGGACAATGTTCTTCGCAAGTGGACATATTTCCGTTTCTCCGATTCCATAGCGATGTTTTACGCTGCCGCCGGAAGGCCGTCGAGGATGGTGGTGTGTCCCCGCAACTCGTACATTTGACCAAGGTTAACTGTCAACTCGTGCAAGCCGGCAGTCAAATGTGCAGTAAAAAAAGAATCAGTAACTTGCAGTTGGATGTACGTTGGCCATTACTGTGTTCTCTCTCTCTCCAGGTCTCCTTAACTATTCGACAAGTTAGGTGCTATGTGCATCTCACTAGGACAACCAGGGCCTAAGGCTATAACAATGCATTTTTGTCTCAGCCGTTTATTATGCTGTCAACATAGGCTTCCTTGGTCGCGCAGCCGTTAACTCACGCAAATTTAGTTTATTTGTCCGATGTCTTTGTAACACGTAACGCTATCTGTCTTCAAGAGGTTCGAACCTCTTTAGTACTTTGTCTGGCTCGAGTTCTCTGTGCTATCGACTGGATATTGTCTGTATGAAAAAAACGCCGCTCACCACTTGTACATAACATGTTAGTTTGCTTCTAGGAATGTTGCGGGATTCAGTCTATTACGAATATTGAAGCATAGGAAGCTCCGGTCAAGCCAACCCCTTGCAAGTAGCGGGAACCGAGAAAGACCGATGGGTCTGATGACTGATCTCACCAGATGATTCTGCGTTTTCGTGTCACGGACTAACTTTCGGAAGTAGGGCCGCGGTGTCGACTGAATTCCCCTTCCGACGGTGTTGCGGTAAAAGGCCGCCTTCGCCGACGATTCGGTCGTACACGCCGGCGCCATCTTCCAGACTGCCTGCTCAATTTATTGCCGTTGGCACGGTCGTCAACTGAGGGAGTGGAGGAATATGGCCGAAGCACTAGTAGCTTTCATTCACGAATTACTGTTGTTTCGACTTAAGCCCTGCAAACACCCTATCCCTCACCTAAGCAGCAGAAAATAAATAATGATGAAACATGATTTGGCAGGTAACTCTGATATCCTCAGACTAGGTCAAACGCTGTGAACAACTACTTAAAGCGACTTCCAAAAATCATATATACTTCTCATTTTTCTCAATCGTTTTTAGGTTGTAGATCGTAAAATGGACAGTATGATGGAAACATGGACCATTCTGTTCAGGTTTCCAACAGAGATCGGATGGTGTACTCTAGTGTGCGGATTTGTAGTGGTCTTCGTCACTTTAAAAATATCACACGCATGGCTCCAACGAACGAAAGCACACGCGCTACTTGCTGAGAAACATCGAAAGCTCTCCGAAATTCGACAGACAAGTTTACTGGGTCTGCAGAAAAATCCACAGCTTGAGCACTTCTGCAGCCTTAGCACTCGCGAGTTAGCTGCCAAAATACGATCCGGCGAAGTAGAGCCCTTACAGTTGCTCCACGCATTCCAACAACGTGCTGCAGAACTTCTTCCACAGAACTGCATAGCTGAGGTAATCCTGGAGGCAAACGACCAAGCTAAGGCTCTTGTTCTGGACAAACAAGTTAAACGTTCTCCGCTGTTTGGCATCCCAGTGAGCTTTAAAGAAAATTTTAGCATAAAAGGCTACGACACACCCCGCGGTTTGCTTAAACATCTTAACGACCCGGCAACAGAGGATGCCGTACTGGTGAAGGTTCTTCGATCAGCTGGAGCTGTTCCCTTTGTTACTACATCCATGCCGCCATCTGGTCTGTCATTGGACTCATCCAATGCAATTTACGGAGAACAACGACACTTTTCTGACAGGAGACGTCTGGCGGGTGGAAGCTCCGGAGGTGAGGCTTTGCTTCTTGCCGGATGTGGATCTCCTCTCGGTTTCGGGTCGGATATTGCCGGTAGTCTTCGAATACCGGCCGCCTTTTGTGGCATTTCATGCTTGAAGCCTACCTTTAAACGTCTTAGTCATTTTGGTCTTGTTACGGACAACAGGAGAAACAATGCTCGACTAGATGTGTGTGTTGGGCCAATGGCAAGGAAGGTGGACTCTCTGGTAGATGCAATGCGCACCCTTCTCGGACCTGAAATGTTCAATCTCGATCCGACTGTTCCGCCAATTGCTTTTGATGAAGCCCTGTTTTCTGGTTCGCGTAAACAGTGTCTAGTTGTGGGATATTACACGCAATTTAAGGGCGACGCGCAGGTTCAACCATCGCCTTCTGTGCAGCGCGCTGTCCTGGAAGTGAAGGCAATTTTACAAAGCCAAGGCCATTTGGTAAAGGAGTTTGTCCCGCCGTCTGCCGACTTAGCCGAGGAACTGGTATTGTCCACTTTCTTTTCTGATGGCGGTGCTGGATTGCGCTCTGCCCTAAGCAATGAGCCACTGCCGAAGCACATGCAGCTGCTGCGTATTTCGCTGTACCTGCCTGTATTTCTAAAGCGCCTGCTGGCACTCCTCGCAGGTTTCTTTTTTGGTAAGTCTGCGGCCATTATACTAGAATCCTCGATTGGCTGCCATTCCAGCGGTTCCGTCCTAGACTTGCGACACCGGATTGCGAAGTACGAGGAGGCTTTTGCGAAGTCCATTTCCACCTCCGATCCGCCCTTTGACGTTATAATATGTCCGACCTTCGCCTATCCGGCCCCTCTTGCGGACACTGCGGAGCTATTTTT